GCTTGCTTTTATTTCATCAATAACATAATAAACAAAATCATTAATGGCTAATATTCTGATATTAGCACAATCAGTAATACAGTTCTATCTTTAATTATGAAAATTCTAACTGCAGTCAAATAATTAAATTTATAATACAGTTTTTTATAACTAATTGATGATTTTTTCCTTGAATTTTTGGGAACAGGTAGTGAATTTATTTTATTTTGAGAACAAGTTAATCTAGAAATACCATGCATTTTGAATATAAATATAATGACATGATGGCTCTAGAAATGTGATGTAAATTTTAAAACCTATAACAATTTAAGGTGCTACCTGAAAGCAATTTTTATAATTTAGGAAAAAAATGTGAATTTTATGTTTCATTTAAAATAAAGTAAGATGAAAGTAGAATTCTTTTTATTAACTTTATTTTGATATAACTCACATACCATAAAATTCACCCGTTAAAAGTGTCATGCCATGGTTTTTGATGTGTTCACAGAATCGTGTATCTAGTCTCACAAACAATTTTAGAACATTTTCATTGTCCCCAAAAGAAACTGCATCCATTTGCTGTCACCTCTGGGTCTCCTATCCTCCCCAGCCCTTGGCAACCACTAATCTACTTTTTATATCTGTAGATTTGCCTTCTCTGGGCATTTCATGTGAATGAAATCATACAGTGTGAGGTCCTTTGTGCCTAGCTTCTTTTTTTAAAAAAATCATTTTATTGAGGTAAGATGGACTTATAAAAAGCTGTACATATTTTTTTTTAAACATGGAGAAGTCACTTTTATTTTTTGAGATAACTTATCATGGAAGAGTTTACATTATTTTTAGTAGAGAAGATTAAGTGGTAAGCCCTCTTAGAATTTTTACTTAGCTAAGAGACATTTTTTTAACTTCTTTATTGGAGTATAATTGCTTTACAATGGTGTTTTAGTTTCTGCTGTATAACAAAGTGAATCAGCTGTACGTATACATATATCTCCATATCCCCTCCCTCTTGTATTTCCCTCCCACCATCACTATCCCTCCCCTCTAGGTGGTCACAAAGCACCAAGCTGATCTCCTTGTACTATGTGGCTGCTTCCCACTAGCTATCTGTTTTACATTTGGTAGTGTATATATGTCCATGCCACCCTCTTACTTCGTCCCAGCTCACCCTTCCCCCTCCCCGCATCCTCAAGTCCATTCTCTACGTCTGCATCTTTATTCCTGTCCCGCCCCTAGGTTCTTCAGAACCATTTCTTTTTTGTTTTTAGATTCCATGTATATGTGTTAGCATACGGGATTTGTTTTTCTCTTTCTGACTTACTTCACTCTGTAGGACCGACTCTAGGTCCATCCACCTCACTACAAATAACTCAATTTCGTTTCCTTTTATGGCTGACTAATATTCCATTGTATATATGTGCCACATCTTCTTTATCCATTCATGTGTCGATGGACACCTAGGTTGCTTCCACGTCCTGGCTATTGTAAATAGAGCTACAATGAACAGTGTGGTACATGACTCTTTTTGAATTATGGTTTTCT